GGAGAGTGGCATTTGAACTGCGGTTTCGAGGAGAGTGGCATTTGAACTGCAGTTTCGGGGAGAGTGGCATTTGAGCTGGTAATAAAGTCTGAGGACATCAAGGACTGAAGGGAGAGCTACTGCCCTGGGCTGAGGGAGGGAGATGAGTCTGGGGTCTCTGTGTCCCTCAGGCCAGCCATCCCTGACCTCTACCCTGGGACAAACTGCCTGTGGTATTCTATATAGTGCCAAAGCCCAGAAAACGACAAATCATGGTTTTTTTTACTCGGAATATTCTCCTCACCTGGGTTGCAGCTGAGTAGATCTGAGCCACTGCATATATTACATCCAGTTCCTCACTGAAATTCCAATTGTTTTTCACCCACTCGAGAAGGCATGGCAGAATGCAAGCAAGTCAGCTTGCTGTGCCCACAGACATGACCTCAAATGGGTTTGATTTATTTAGTCAGGTCAGTCATCCGAAAAGGTCAGCCCTTAGCAGTTCCTGGGAATTAATCAGTGGTGTGACACAATGCAGCTGTGATTGCCACAAACCAGCGACAACTGGGCGGTGGCAGGCACAGTACCAGGTTATTAACCCCCAGCAGCCTGTGCCCGCCCCCGCTTTTTTAAAAAACTTGCCTTGAATGCCACTAATGAGTGCTTGCTGGGGCGTTAAACAGTCTTGAACCTACATTCTTGCATTGTTTTGGAAGGCGTCCTGTGTTGATACTGAGTGGGGGCCCATACAGACCACATTTTGTCACAAAATAAGGCAGAAAAGAGTGAATCATACACCTGGCAAAAGATCAGAGAACTGTGCTTCGAAAGATTAATAGATGTGTTTCCCTTTTTATGATTACTGAAGATTATTACTGACAATTATTTAAAATGTTTCTAATAATTACAATGGTTGTTCTGGCTTAAAACTCATTTCACAAAAGATAAAGAATTATACAGTTCTAATTAAGGTTTGGGACTAATAGTTAAAACTGGTTTTCCCAAAGTACTTTTCAGCTGTTCCTGCACAAGGAGATGAGTAAAGAATTTGCTCAGGGTCTGTGATGAGCTGGACGCTGGAATGAGGACCAGAATCCAAGCTCCTGACCCCAGACCCAGCTTAGGTGGTAAGGAGCTTAAATACTCATATTGGAGTTTGGTTGTTCTCGAAGAGGGATTTATGGTCCCCAAACCAGGAGCTCCTTTCTCCCCTGGTTGCTTTCAGGACCTTGTGCTGACGCACCTACTCCCAGGAGGCAATCCTGATTAATTTTACTGCCCTCCAAACCGGTCTTTATGTCAGCACTTCTGAATCCACTTCAGTCTTTTGTTTCTTTGTTATTTCTTAAGAGTGAATTTCCTTTCTCCATGTGACCTGAAATATCTTGAAGGCAAAAGACACTTCTATTTATGACTGTGCTTCCTTGACCTTCCTCTCCCACCCTTCTCCCTCTGTACCCCTCTTCCTGCCTCCCTGCCGCCCCTGCCCTTCCACACACACGTGGAGGCCCAGTGCAGGAAAACCTCAGCCTCCTGGCGTCAGGAAGGTTTCAAATTCTCACTGGTAATGGACACACCCCTCTGGAGGAGCTGGGCTGAAAAATTACTGACCTGGACAAATGCTCCTGATTTAAATGTAAATTCAAACTTAAAAAACAGACCTGGTGATATTCAGAACTTACAATATCCTTTAAACAGACTGGCTTTCTCTGTGAAGATCACTCTTTAGGGGCCCTGAAAAGGAGAGGCCAGGTGGGAAATGCGAACCGCTTCCTCAGGGAGGAGAGTGCAGGGCTCTCCACCGAGTGCCCCCTGGAAGCTCAATGCCTAGCAGCGCCGGGTGCCTTCCGATTGCATCTGTGAACCTAAAGCCCTCAGATGTGTATGCAGCTCTTTGCAGTTTTCAAAGGGTTCCCACACACATGGTTTCACCTGATCCTCATGAGAGCCTTGCCGGGGTGAAGGCCAGGTTTCACTGTCCTCGCTGTATGAAGAGGAAACCAGATCCCTGGAGTCCACGGAAATGAGAGGAGCCAGGATCTGAGCCCACACATAAATATTCATTGAATTCAACTAATACAGAAATATATGATTCTTTTAAGGTAAACAGAATGTCCTTAAGAAGCTCATAATCTAATTGTGGAGAAATGTTCAAAATATTTTTTATTATTTATTTATTTTTGAGATGGAGTTTCGCTGTGTCACCCAGGCTGGAGCGCAGTGGCACGTACTCCACTCACTGCAACCTCCGCCTCCCGGGTGCAAGCGATTCTCCTGCCTCAGCCTCCCGACTAGCTGGGATTACAGGTACGTGCCACCACGGCCGGCTAATTTTTGTATTTTCAGCAGAAATGGGGTTTTACCATGTTGGCCAGGCTGGTCTCAAACTCCTGACCTCAGGTGATCCGTCCGCCTCAGCCTCCCAAAGTGCTGGGATTACATGTGTGAGCCACCGTGCCCGGCTCCAAAATAAAAATAATTAAAATAGCCATACAAGGAATGAATAAGGCGAGAGCAGACATACTTCAGTGTGAAATGAGGCAAGAAAGTGCTGCGATTTTTTAGGGGACTGAGGTAACTTTTATGCCATGACTGAACTGAACTGAAATTTCTGTGTCCTCCACCCCAACCCCCTTCCAAGTTCCTGCTGAGTATTCTGGGTTTTGCTAGAATTCTTTATGACACATAGAAAGTCTTCAGCTCTGCACCTTAGCCACGGCGATGTCTGGGCTTGTCGCATCATCTTCAGTCCGTATTTACGGTGCAACTCGGCCAAAACAAAAAAGAATTTTTTTTTTATTTTTTTTTTTAATTTAAAAAGTCACAGGGAACATGAAAAGGGGGAAGAGGGAAATTTGCCTTCAGTGTTCCAGGAAAGTCCACCCTCTCCTTCTAGGGGTGGATCTTAGTGGATCTAATGAATCACACATGAAAAGAGACGAAAAAGACGAAGGAGTTTCAGGAGAGTATTGACCAGGTCAAAGGAGAGGGTGGGGGAAAAGAGCCATGAAATAATTGGGAGACAAACTTCTGGGGGCTTTTGATTGACTGGATGTGGGAATGTTGTGGAAGACGTCTGGCCTGCCATTTCCTGAGAATGGGACTGCTGAGAGAGGAGCCGGGGGGAGCACTGCAAATTTCGCTTTGGACACGTGAGTCATCTGTGAGGGGACCAAGCTGGGAGGGCAAGCAGGGAACTGGACACGTGGCCCTGGAGCACAGAGAAGGGGCTTCAGCAGGCATATTTAGGTGTTGCCATGGTTCCAATGTTCCCTCCAAAACTCATGTTGGAATTTAATTCCCAAAGTGGCAGCATGGCGAGGGGGGGCCTGTAAAAGGTGATTGGATCATGAAGGCTCTATTCTCACTAATGAATGGATTCATCATGGGAGAACGGGCAGCTTTGTAAGAGAGGAAGAGAGACCTGTGCTAGCACCTTAGCACGCTCACCCTCTTGCCATGTCATGCCCTCAACCCTTCAGGACTCTGCAGAGTCCCCACCAGCAAGATGGCTCTCACCAAATGCAGCCCCTCAACTTTGGACTTCTCAGCCTCCAGAGCTATAAGAAATAAATTTCCTTTCTCTATAAATTACCCAGTTTCAGATATTCCTTGTTTTTAATTTTTAATTTTTTTTTTTATTTTTTGAGACGGAGTCTCACTCTGTCACCCAGGCTGGAGTGCAATGGCGCGATCTCAGCTCACTGCAACCGCCGCCCGCCCCAGGGTTCAAGTGATTCTCCTGCCTCGGCCTCCCGAGTAGCTGGGATTACAGGCGCCTGCCACCACGCCCGGCTAATTTTTGTTTTTAGTAGAGATGGGGTTTCACCATCTTCGTCAGGTTGGTCTTCAACTCCTGACCTCGTGACCCACCCACCTCGGCCTCCCAAAGTGCTGAGACTGCAAGTGTGAGCCACAGCACCTGGCCCCCGTTTCAGATACTCTGTTATAAGCAATAGAAACAGAGGAAGTATCTTTGACATGGAGTGGATACTGGAAGCCATGTGACTTCTGTGGGATCATCTCGAAAGAAAGTGTAAAATGAGAAGACACAAGGGCCCAGGAAAGAGCCCTAGGGAACTCAGCATTTGCACAGCAAGTACCGGGTAAAGGGAGAAAAGGGAGAAGCCTGTCAGGAAGCTGAGGAGGAGCAGCCAGAGGAGGGGGAACCCAGGAGAGCATGCGGATATGGGAGTCAGAAGTGTGTCAGAAGAAAGAAGCAGCTGACAATGTCAGAAGCTGCCAAGAGGCACAATAACATTGAGGGAGGAAGTGAGTGTGGTTGTTTCTTTATGGGCCAGAGTTTTAAAATACCAGGATGAAAGGGCACCTAACAAATAGCAAATACACTAACTTTTGTATTTTGTACCTACCAGACTTCAGACTAAAAAAAGCACAAAGAATACTTGCCAGGGTACGGAGAAGCCCAGGAAATTGCAAGAGATATCCAGTTTCTGAAATGAATTACAATTATCATCTGAATAAATAGTGTGAAAAAATACACACCTGAAAAAATGTGTGAAAATGGCCAAGAAAACATTGAAAATCAAGGTCACTGGGGGAAGACTTTTACTGCCAGTTATTAAAATTTACTATCAGCTGTACTGACTAGAACAGCTGCCAGAATAGATAATTCAACAAGCCAGGATGGGAAGCCCTGAGACTTAAGTTTGGTGGGGACTGTACGTAGGCCCCCTGGCTACCTTCTTTCTCGATGAATAGGTCACACATCTAACTCCCTCGCAATTAGGTTCACCCACTCAGGTGCCCTTGAGTTAGACTGGAAAGGCAGAAGGGAGCGGAGGCCATTTTCCTGCTGCTTCTGATGTAGATGCGAGGCTTCCATAGGAAAGAGGGGTCCACCTGTATAAAGAGCCCAACAACCATATTCTCCAGATGTTCAGTCCCTCTTCGCCCCCCCCAATCCAAATGACAGTCTGACACACTGACCACGGAGACTCCACCTGCTGGTCCTCCAGGTGGAGTAACTGATAACAAAAATCTCTAGCTTACTCCTAAGTGTTTATTCTGAAGGCAGAGAATGTACAGCAAGACCAGACTTTTGGCCCAGCTAGCGCTGACTTTGCAATATCAAAATTGCACGTAAACAGACTTAAAAAGCAAATGACAAACTGGGAAAATGGCTGTAACATAGGTGACAAAGGGCTGATATTCTATAAAGAGTTCTTGCGAATGAATAAGATAAAGATGAATCCAAGTGGGCAAAAGATATGCGCAGGCAATCTGCAAAAGTGATGCATAAAAACAGGTTCAACATTACTAGTAATCAGTGGAATAAAACTTAAAACAACAATGCGAAACCACTGTTCTATCATATTAACAAAGATGACAAAAAATGGTGTGACAGTGCAGGGTGTGGAGAAAAGTTGATGTCGAAGCTGTGCCGTCTTTCTATATGTCTTTCACATTAATCAAACGCCTTCAACAACGAGCACCACTTTTGACATGAGTTCCTGGACTTTATCCTTAAAAAAAAAACATGACGTGCACGTAGATTTAGCTACAAGTAATTTTGCAAAAGTGAAAAGTTGAAAACAACCCAAATGTACAAAAATAGCGGAGATAATTATGGTACATTTGTATAATAGTATGCCACTTGGTCATTAAAAATGCCATAGAAGTGTATTTTTCATAGGCTTATTTCTGGTTGCTGGTGTTACAGGTGGTTTTTGCTTTTTTATTTTATCATTTTCTATTTTCCTGTAATTATTGCACATTTTTAATAACAACGTTTTAAAACTGGCAATTATATGGTGAAAAGGGCATTAGTAAATTCTGAAGCAACTGAAATTGTAACTGACCATTAATAAATAAACATCATTACATACTAACATTTACCTTAAATAAACTAGATTTCATTTTTCTACTATGGGAGGAAAGACCTAAAATACAAATTGACTCGAATTATAGAAAATAAAGTTACAATTCAGGAATATCTGTCTTTGAACTGTGAAATTTGTACCTGTTATGTGTGTGTGCACGCACGCGTGTATAAAAAATATTTGGATATCCACTAGTTTAAAACAGTGGTTCCTTTCAGCAGGGTGGGATGAGAGGGGGACAGGAGACAATTTTTTGTTTACACAACTCTGTATGACTTGTTATAATAAGCATGAAAAATCGAAGGTCACTTAAGTAAAAATGGCTATAATTATGAAAATACTTAGAAATATGTAAAGTCTCTATGGTATGATTAGAAATCATAATGCAAAATATGTATACTGTGCTTGTAACTATGTTCATATATTTCCACGTGAGAGAAGCCTGAAGGGGAATACTCTACAATGAAAATAGTTGTTCAAGTTCATTCATTCGTTCATTTATTCCACAAATGTGTGCTGAGCTGCTACTATGTGCAAGGCAACTGTTGCAGGCACCTGGATACAGCAGGCAATCAAAAGTCAAAAGTGCCTCCACTCAGGGAACTTAAATTCTAGTAGCGGGAGACAGACAATAACATGGTAAACACAGCGAGTATTTTAGGAGGCGGTGAGTGAGTGTCGTGGGAAGAGTGGAGCAGGCCAAGGGAGACTAGCAGTGCTCTGGGTCAGGGCCACGTTTAAATAGGTCGGTCAGGAAAGGCCTCACTGAGGTGACATGGGAGTGAAGATTTGAAAGAGCTGAAGGGGTCAGTCCTGGACACGCCTGGACGGGGGGTTTTACAAGTAGACAGCAGCCAGTGCAGAGGCCAGAGGACGCGGACAGCAAGTCAGACAGCTAGGCAACCAGCGGGTTGTCCGGCTCTGCGGCCATTGTAAGGACTTTGGTAAACTGAGGAGCCGCTGTGCAGCGTGGAGCACAGAACCCACAGGATCCCTGCGGCTGCTGCATGGAAACCCGGCGACTGGGAGCGTAGGGAGGGCAGGAGACCGAGGTGCTCAGGCGAGGGATGAAGGGGGTGCGGACATGTTGAGGTGCTGCATCCTAGACACAGACTGAAGGTAGCGTCAACAGGATTTCCAGTCAGGGTGTGTCGAGAGTGTGAGAGTGAAGCTGGCTCTTCCGGCTCTGGCCTGAGTAAATGCAGCCGCCATTAATGCTGATGGGAAAGGCAGGCGGGCGGAGCGGGTGGGGGAAGAAAGGGTCTTACTTTCTTCTTCCTTGGAATAATATATTCCAAGCAATATAATTAAGCAACATATATTTTCTCCTTTAAGAAAATTCCAAATATTATGGTATCATTCCAAATAAAAAAATCATTTCAAGAGTCCTGACGCAGCAACCATTACACTCCCGGTAACGGGAATGTTCAGTCCGTCTGTGCTCCGGAGACATCCCACCGCAGAACACAGGGCCGAGATTCCGGCGTTCGAAAAGCGGGGGCAAAACGGAGGCTGCAAACCCGTGCCCAGTCCTGAAGACTCTCGAAAATGTGGGGAGAGCGCTGCACAGGAACTTCGAAAACGAGAGGCGGCTCCTAGGATCCAGGGTGCGGGAAAACCGCGGGGCACATTTGGAACTCGGGTCCGACGTCTGAAGGAGCGGAGGCCGCTTCCGAGGAGCCCGGGGCACGCCGGGAACGGCCAGGCCGCCCTCCTCCCGGCAGCCTCGGGGGCCCGGCCACAGGGACCAACAGCACCTGCCGGAGGGCGGGAAGGTCCTGCCTCGTCAAGGGAGGCAGCGAGAAACGGCCGCGATGAACGAAATAAAACCTTTCTCCACCACTGGGACGCAGCTCGCGTCCGAGGAAGCAGAACACACCGGCCGCGGAGCTTTCCGAAAGGCTTCGCGCCGGGACCCGCGACCAGCACGGGGGCCCCCACCCTTTTCGAGAAGCCGGGTCAGGCGGGCCGTGGCGGGGCGACCTTTGGGCGGAGGCAGAGGGCAGGGCTGCCCCGCACAGGTTCCGCCCCCACCTCAGCGTCCTCGCCCCGCCCAAGCCCCGCCCAGCAGCCCAAGGGCCAAACCCCCGCGACGCATGCGTGCTGCTTCCGCGCGCCTCCACCTGCCGTGCGCTTCCGCCGCTGGCCAGGCTCTTCTGCCCCTCCCCCTTCTGTACGGCCGCCACTCTGCGCCCGGCTTCGTTCTCACAACCTGGTTCTGCCCACACCTGCCCTTCAGCCCTGTGAACAGTGGCTGTCGAACAATCTCAGGCCCTGCACACCCACCTCCCTCGCTCCCGTGGTGGCGGTGGTGAAGGGCTGGGGACGTGGGGTAGAAAAATCGGCGGCATGTGGGAGGCCGCGGTGCCGGGGCCCACTTCCGGAGGACGGGCGGAAGTGGCTGCGGTGGATGGTGGGAGGGGGAAGGAGTGCGAGGGGAGGGCCGGGCCGCTGGGGGTCGAGGGGGTGGGGCCTGGGCCGGCGCTGGGGATCGGGCCTGGGGCCTGGATTGCTACCCGGGCGGGCCGCGGCTCTTAGCCGAGGCGGGGCGGGCGGGAACCAGGTAACGAGCCGGCTCAGTTAGGGCGAGGGTCGTCCGCAGGGCGGCCGGGTGGGGGTCGGAGTCCAGGGAGGGTCGCAGTGTCACCCCCTTCTCCTGTGAACTCGGGGCACGGGGTTCCGGGGGAAGGGTGGGAGGAGTTACATTGTTGGAGGGGGTGGAGGTCGTGTGGACGCCACGCCCCTACAGGAAGGAAAGGAGAGTGTGTGTGTCTGTGTGGGGATGTGTGTTTAGGAATAAACTTGGAGGGGATGGGGCGACATCCGGGCTGAGAAATAGGAACACTGTGGGGCTGCTGCAAGCAGGACTTGGGCCTTAAACATTCCAGGAGAGTGTTCTCGGGAGTAGCCCCGGGAAGGACTTTAACAGAGGTTGGGAATTATATCTCTGGCACAGTTTTGCAAGCGGAGGGGGAGCTTAGTTGAAGGAAAAGGAGCAAAGAATGCATGTAGAAGATGCCAGCATCTCGGTCTGGAAAGGCTTCATTAGTTTAGTTGAAGAGGGCTGGTGGATTAAAACACTTAGCACCCTAAGAAGCTTGGGAGATTCGATTATTATGTTGGGCTTTAGACAGGCGGGCAGGAGAAAGGGCATTCTCTTCTCGATTTCTTAGAAGACAGTCTCCGGTTACTTTTCTGTGGCGAGAATGGGTACGACCCATCTTTTATCCTGAATCGCGTATATGTTTGTACATATATAATGTTTGTATTGTATGTGTTTGTACATATATAATGTTTATATGTGTTTGTATATAAATACACTATTGAGGTGACTGTGTTCTGGCGTGCGATACGTGAGTTAAGTAGGTGCTTTGTATAACCTTGCGGAGTGTTTAAAGTTTTTTGATGATAGAATCTAGTATGCACTCTTAGGTGGGGAGTGGAAACTAGAAGGTTTTAGGACTCTATTTGGGTATGTGCTAGATTAGAGAGTGTTATAATGTTGAAATGTTCTGCAGGTTAACACGAAAATCTGCCACCTGGGCCATGCCGCTTCTAAGGCCTGTTTCTTATGAGCCTCCGCAGAAGACAGATGGGTCCGTTCTTACAGTGGATAACTTCCCCTGCCTGAGCAAGAGATGGGATAGTATCTGGGATCTGCCCATCACCAGACTCTGAGCTTAATAAGGCAGCTGAATGAAGGGAGGTAACGGACCCCTGAGAGGGGCACTGAAGTCTGCAGTGGGGGGGGAGGGGCCTGGACACACCCCTTCCCCCCCAGACTCCTCCCCGTCAGGGTCAGCTCAGCCATGGACTTTGGACCTGGATAAGAAGAGAGAAGCTGCACTTTGGTGGATCTGATTTGGGATTCTCAGTTTTGAAAATGGAGTGCTGAATGGGGGTTTGATGATCTCCTGGGGAGCAACTGAGACAAGAGGAAAGGTAAGGCTCCTGTCTCATTTCCCATTTAATGTCTTACTGCGCGTGTGCAGAAGTTGTTGAGCGGGCGAGTTTGCAGAGGCTATTATTCCGGAAATCTTATCCAGATGGGTGCACTGGAAGCTACACCTCTCCATTACTCTGTCCGGGTGTAGACCTGTTCCCCATCTGTCGTTACCCAGGCTGGATGAGTGACTTGTAAGGGATTGTGAGCAATGGCAATTGAGAGGTTTGGCCAAGGAGAACATGAAAATAATTCAGGCTTCCGAAGGGAGGTTGGATTAGATTACCTTTAAAGGCCCTTCCAACGCTGAGATAATAGGATTCCAAGTCAGTCTGGGTTAAGACTGGAATGGATTACCTAGGGGAGGCAGCTGCTCTGTTTTGGGGAGCTAACTGAAAAGGACTGCTGGTGGGAGGAGAAGGCGGGAATGGTCTAGATCACCTCCTAAATTGTCTCTCTTCCTCTTTCTATAACAGGAGCTTAGCCCATGAAAGCTCAGGAAAAGACCAGAGGAACAGAACACAGGTTTGGGAATCAGGAAGGAGTACTTGTGTTCTAGCTTTGACTTTTTTAGTCAGTGTGCAACCGTACACAGGCCATGTTCTCTTCACCTACAAAATGGGGAACACTGACTTTCCAGGTCCCTTACAAGTTGTTACAAGGAGCAAATGAAACAATGAAGGATTTTGAAAAGTATCCAGGGCCATGTACATAGGAAACAATAACATTGATATTGCTACATGTGCCTTAAAAGCACAGAAACAACTCTGAATCAGGAGTTCTCTTTTCTTGTTGAAATATGTGCTGGCAGAAGCCTAAGAAGATGTCCTTAGTTAAAAGCCTGAATTTGTTTCATCATCTTGTTGTTAAGCAGTACTTGGGATCATCAAGTTGTAGAACAGGCGAATGGATCCCAGGAGAACTTGGATTGAAGATTCTTGCAGATACTACATTGGTCCTTATGGCTCTGCAGTCCAATTTCAGTGTGCCCATTTGAGGTAGCTGATTAAAGAGGGGGTGGAGGGATGCCTAAGCCTTGAGGGCAAGTGTCTGACTAGGAATTGGCACTGCATTTCTTGGAGTGAATGGTGCTCTTTGCCTTCCTGTGCCATATCCTCGTTATCTTTCCAGCTCTTTAAGATGACGTTGTTTTCCAGACTGACATCTTTTTGCCCTTTGTATTTTCTCAGGCTGTATTCCCACTAAAAGCAGCCCTGTTTGTCTTTATCTTCTCACTTCCTGTCTGCTCCCTCCTTCAATTCCAGTTTACCTGTGCCAAGATGCCTGCTTTTCCCAGTGACCACACACAGCAGAAAGGAGAGGTGGAGCACAGTGTTGGGAATTTGGAGAGACAGTAGGATGTGGTGGCCTGGGCAAAGGGCTGGAAGCCTGGCTTCTGGCAGTCTCTGCCTCTCCCTAGCTCAGTAACACCCAGGCCTCACGTGTTCCTTGAGGATGGGTGCCAGTGAGGTCATCTGCAAACTGAGAATCCTGTACTTATGCCTTACTTTCCGTGTTAAATGTTTTTCTTCCACCGCCTGCCCCAATCTTTCCTTTTTTGCCACAGGAGTTTTCCTCACTCCCGCCAGCGGCCTGAGCGGTGGGCGGTGGCCTGGGTGGAGCTGCTGCTCCAAAGCTGTGCTTTCTCCTCTGATTTGATGCCTGGGGCAGCCCCTTTGAAGCCAGGCTGCTCCTTTATAAGGTGTGGGTCTCAAGGTGGGTATGCCACCTTCCCCAGCTTCACCCAGCACATTTCTGGTGTCGGTCTTTGTTTAGACACGGGTCACAGTGGTCCCTCAGGGACATGTGGTGCCACGGTGCCTCCTCAGCCGTCTCTGGGATCCCAGGTACCAGGGAGTTGTGTATTTGCGTAGTGCTTCCATCGTGTCATCCATCAATCTGTTTTGTCCGGTTTCCCTCACCACTTTGTTGTGAGGAGAACACAGCAGGGATTCTTTTCCCAGTTTGAGGGGAAGCTACGGAAGCCCTCAGTGGGAAGGGTTTGCCTAAGGGTAGAGTGGTCGGCACTGAAATCACCTCCCAGGGCTGTGCTGTTTCCACAGCATCTGACCTGACAAGGGCCATCTGGGTCCTGCAGACCTCCAGGGAGAGAAGCTCTGTACCCGCCAGACAGCCTCTCTGGTGGAACGTTTCCTCCTTAGAGTGAGCAAGCTTTCCTCTCTCTGACCTTCTCACCCTCCGCCCTCCACCTGACCCTCCATGAGACAGGCCTTTCAAGACAACCGTTGGCTTTTTCACAGGGGCACCAGGATGCCAGGGCATGGCACTCAGCAGGTGTCAGGCTACTTAGCCAAGAGCAGTGATAGACTTCACCAGACTGTGTGTGTGTGTATTTCCTTTTTTTTATTTTTCTTTTTCTTTTTTTTTTTGAGATGGAGTCTTGCTCTGTTGCCAGGCTGGAGTGCAGTGGTGCGATCTCAGCTTGCTACAACCTCCACCTCCCAGGTTCAAGCTATTCCCCTGCCTCAGCCTCCCAAGTAGCTGGGACTACAGGCACGCGCCACCATGCCTGGCTAATTTTTTGTATTTTTAGTAGAGACAGGGTTTCACCATGTTGGTCAGGATGGTCTCCATCTCCTGACCTCGTGATCTGTCCGCCTTGGCCTCCCAAAGTGCTGGGATTACAAGCATGAGCCACGGTGCCCGGCCGTGTGTGTATTTTAACTCAATTATTTATATCCTTCTTTATTCCAAAAGGAATTGGAGGTGGCTAACCAAAAGTTACATTTCACAGACATTGTTTAGTGATTATTATGTTAATCTTTCCTCTTTGACCTGGATGAGATGAATTTCTGGGTCTCCATTGTGGGGTGAGGGAGAATGGCAAACAGAGAGATTGGGAGGCAGGGAGAAGGGAAACAAAACACTGATTTTAAACATTTGCTTTTACTTTTTTTTTTTTGAGATGGAATCTCACTCTGTCACCGAGGCTGGAGTTCAATGGCATGGTCTCTGCTCACTGCAACCTCCGCCTCCCAGGTTCAAGTAATTCTCCTGCCTCAGCCTCCTGAGTAGCTGGAATTACAGGTGCACGCCACCACACCTGGCTAATTTTTGTATTTTTAGTAGAGATGGTGTTTCACTATGTTGGCCAGGCTGGTCTCGAACTCCTGACCTCGTGATCCGCCTGCCTTGGCCTCCCAAAATGCTGGGATTATAGGCATGAGCCACCACACCTGGCCTGCTTTTACTTTTACTGATGTTTTCAAGCCAACATATGTTTTAATTTAAGGGCATGAATTCTTTCCAAATTGTAAAAAATGTCAGGGATCTTGGGCATGGTTTATGGGAGGGCAATTTCCTGGAGCAGTTTTCACTTCCTTTTCATCCTTTCAGTTCTTTTTTGTTGGTGGTGGAGTGGACAGAAGAGTATTGTTCCTCCTAATTCTGGTTTAATCCTGTGACTGTTTATCCTCCTGTTTTTTCTTTTTGCACATAATCCAATCCCAGGCCCACCCCCAGAATCCTGGGCCCTTGTTGCTATCCTTCTTACCCCCAATCACTGCTCCCCATGTAACCTCTATCAAGAGTTCAGAGCCTCTTTTCAAACCCAGGTCAGTTTGGCACTCATTTACCCTGGTTTCTTGCCTCTCAGACCAAGTGCTTTCTTTTGCCTCCATCACGCCCATTCTGATTCTCTAACCAGGCCCTTTCTTTTTGAGATGGTCTCTTGCAGTCCGGGAATTTCTCCTTTTGAATTTTCCTGTGAGCCTTGGGATTTAAACAAAGGGTGGTAGAGAGGGGGTGTGCGTTACAGTGCACAAACAGCCCTCATACTGTTTCCCCTTCACCTGCCTTAGATGGAGAAGTATCAGGGTTAGTGGTGGGAATCTGACATCTCATGGGCTGATCTTCCCCCACCTTTCAGCACCCCCTGATGTCTGTCCTTTCTCCTGGAAGGTGATTTTGGCTCCTCATGTCTTGGATCTACAAAACAGTGTTTCCCAGCCTTTTCACTTTTAGGAAACATAATTTTTTTTTCCTTTACGCCTGACACCTAGTGTGAGTGTGCAGAGCCCCCAGGCCCCTGACTCTTGTTCATTAGAGAAACATAAGGCAGAGGTGACAGACAACTGGCCTCTGACTGGCACACCCTCCTGGGCTCGAGGCTCCTGCCACAGTGCACACAGTCAGCTAAAGTGGAGGCTACGGGCTTCCTGCACACTGCACACGGCGGGCCTCGGTGGGCCTGCTCTTCTCCTGCTCCTCCTCCAGGTCTGGGCTCTGGCCACTTCCACGGAGGCTTCAGGGCAGCGCCTGAGAGGACACAGAGCCCTCTTAGAACACTGGCGCTGGAGGATGTGTGCGAGGGTGGATGGGGGGGCGCGCAAGAGTGCCCCGTCTAAAACCTGGCCATGCTCCCCACCGGGTCTTGTGGCTTCCAGCACGTTGGCATTTACCCTGAGCCTCAAACTAGTTATCTGTAGAATGAGGATGATAACGCCCACCCCGCAGAGCTCCTGAGGCTTGAAGGAGAGCCCGAGGGAGGGTTTGGCCCCTGAGGCCTCTCACTATGCCTGGTAACCCTTTAGCAGTTTTGATTTAGGTCCTCGCCTCCACGCAGGGGCCTGCAGGGTACGCCGGGCCCTTTGTTTCTCTAGAACCCTGTATGATTCGTGGTTTCATGTAGAAACAAGTTAGTGAGCAGTCAGTCAGTAACCACAGGCCTCAGAGTTCCGGGCTGCTGCGTGCTCTGGCACACGGGGGAGGGGTTGATGTCAGGGGCGTGGGTCCTGATCATATGGCAGCAGCCCTTCTAGGGGAAGTCAGCTACCCAGCAGCCAGTAGCCCTCGGCTATCCACCCTCACTGCCTGGGGTCCCATGGTGAGAGTGGGCATCCAGCTTCTGCAGAGGGCCAGGCCGGACGGAGCTGGGGAGGGAGTGGGGCTTGCACCGGCCTCGTGGAATCCAGGCCTCAGACCTGATCGCTGGCGAAACAGGCTCTATGCGCCGGAGCCCCTGGTCTTCTGCCTCTCTCCTCCTCCTGGCCAGACTTTGCTCCTGGCTCAGCCACAGGTATTTGCTATGGAAAAGCTGTCCCTCCCTCCCCTCGGTGGGCCTGGGTCCACCTCCACCTCCTCTTCAGTTCCGCACCTTCCTCCCCTTTAAAACACCAGCCAGGCGCAGACCGGTTCTGGGCTTGTCCATGGTGCTCCCGCCAAAGCTTGTGACCGAGTCCTTCCCGCCTAGGGCTGGTGGGCCTGCCCTGCTGACAGGTCTCTCTCTGCTTTCTTTACTCAGAACTAACGCTCTCATTCCCCACCCACAAAGGAAAAACAAAAGGGAAGAAGCCACAGCTGGCCCTGGCTTGCTTTGGCACAGGTGCTTGCCCCCGGCCCCGCGTCGGGCACCCCTGGTTCCTCTTCTGCCCTTGCCCCACGCGCCCTGGGGCCCCCACCCAGGCTCCCTCAGCCTCCCCTGGGTTGGGGCGGGGGCACCGGCTCCCCGCCCTTGGCCTGGGGTTTGGTGAACGCCTTTCCTGGACCGCGGGCCCACTTGAGGCGCGGCTCCAGGCAGGGCGGCTGCGCTGGGGGGCCGAGGGCAGGGGCGGGGTCGGGCGCCCACCCTCAGGGTTGCGCCAGGGAGCGGGAAAGCCGACTCCCGAAGTTGGGGGCCTGGGAAAACTTGGGCCCTGGGTTGCCTGAGAAGCGGCGGGGAAAGGAGGCGGGCCAGGAGGAGGGGGCCGCGGACGCCGGCCGGGGGGCGGGACGCGGAGGGCGGTCGGTCCCGCCCGTCAGTCCGCCCCGCCCCGCCCCGCCTGCCGGGGAAGGGCCACGTTGCCCGCCCGGGCCGTCCGGCCCCGGCGCGCCGCAGGAAGGGCTGGCGAGTCGAAAGGCGAGGCGGCCGCGGCAGCGCCTGGGCACCGGGCTCGCTCCCTGCGCCCCCGGGCGGGCCAAGTTCGGGGCCAGGACGTTGGGAGGCCCGGGTGAGTAGCGGTCCGGGGACGGAGGTCTGACCGGGGGAGGCCTCGCGGGCGGCGAGAGGGAGCCCCAGGGACGTCGGGTCGCCCGCAAGCCCCGTGCCCGTGAGCGCTGGCGAGAGCGCGCTTGGCTGGGGAGCGGCCCGGGCCGACCCGGTCCCAGCTGCGCCTCAGTCCTTCCCGAGCGGGGAGGGTGGAACTCCGCGTCTGCTTTCGGAATCCCGGGCCTCCAGCTGTTGGAGGGAGGGAGGGCTCCGCGGACTGGGGAGGATGTTGTGAAACTCGGCCCAGGGCGTCCGTGGGTGCGGGGCAGGGAGCGGGTGGGAGTGCCCGGAGGGTTTGCGGAGCGAGACTGGGGAGGTGGCCTTTCCCCCAGCCTCACTCCAGCATCCTTTCCCCAAGTTAATAGAGGTGGATTCTCCTCGGCAGAAAGGCAATGTTGACTCAGTGTTGAAAAATATGTATAATAAATTGGCAAGGAAACTTTTCTTCCTACCTGTTTGCTAACGTGTGTGGAGAGCCCCGGGACGTGCAGTGCCCGCGTCTGGTAAACTCTAGTAGAGGGACTGTGGCTGGCCGGCTCTGTCTCCCGCAAGGCTGAAGCTTCACTTTGGTTAACCCTTGCTGCTGTAGCGGGTCTACTGTTTTGTTTTAGAACATCACTGGCTGAGAAGTTGTCCAACTTTATTTTCCGTCTTTTACAATATTTTTTCAGGCCATGTAGCCTTTGCTTTTACATGCTCACATCATCCAGGGTCTGCCTTCCATCAGGAATCACTGGGTCCTGGTCCTTCCCAATTCTGGGGACCATTGAGCTCACCCATATCCCTGCTTCTGTGTCTTATTCTCACTGTTAAAAGCACTGCAGTGTGTCTGACCTCAGTGGCCTGTGTAACAAGGGAAACTCATTACTGTTTGGGGCATTAGGGAAATTGTCACTATCCTCAGTATCCAGGCACTGGTACCTTGTGATGAACCAAATCAACCCGTCACCTTGTAGATGAGAGAACTAAGGTACGAGTGGGTCAAGTGACTTGTCCAAAGTTGCCTTGCTTGCTGGCTGGATCGCCTGAATCCCAGGCCTCATGCCTTTTGTGGCACTTGTATTTAGCTCTTCTTTTCCAGGATGAATAACCTGTATCCTTTCCCTCCTAGGTCTTATTCTCTAAACCCTTGAATTATTTAGTGTATCTTCTCTGACTACCTTTCTTTTTTTTTTCCGTCCTGAAATTATGGGCCTGGTACATGATACAGGAGTCCAGCCAAGGTCTAAGAATGAACATGAAAGTAGTTCAGTTAGATTTCCATTATCTGTGACATGTCTATATTTTCTGGAATTTTTACGTAGTGCTTTTTAACATCAAGCAAAGCAGAGATAGAAGGGAAAATCTGTTACCATTTCTTCCACTTCTATACTTAATTTTAAAGCTAAATATAACTTCTCTCTTATTGCTCATGATTGGAAGTTGACTGTCTGGTGTTCACTTGCTGTTTAAGAAACGTTTTTTGCCAGATAAAGGAAATAGGCTGGAGAATACCATGGCATCAGAGTGTTAGAAAGGCTCTCACAGCTCCTAGGCAGTCCTTCAAATGATTCAGAAACTGAGTGAGCCCCGTAGGGGTGGGTAGCACCCACCCAGAGCCACCTGGGTTTTGGCCGAAGGGTTTGGTGCTGAAAAGACACACTTCTCATCTCCCAGCCTGGTGTCTTTGTACTTGGTGGTGTGGATTGGCTGTGTCACTTCCCTAAAGGAGTTGTGAAAACTCTAGAAAATGGAAGTCAGTTTTGAGTCTGTGCCTTGCATGCCAGTCTCATAATGATATCGTTAGGAACTCAGGTCAGGATCAAGGACAGTTGTTCTACTTAAAAAGGAAGGTGTAGCAGATTGTATTTTCCCTAAAGGGCCTCACCTGTAAGTATCCCCTTCCACATGTAGTTATTGTTTGACATTGTCCACTTCCCACCCAGTGGTGGGGTTTGTGATTCTCTCCCCGTGAATGTGGATAGGAACTTGTGGTTCCCTTGACCAGTGAGTAAGACAGACCTGATCCAAGGCTGAATCAGGAGCAGGATACACCTTCACCTGGCTTGCTCGCTTTCTTGGAACACTCACCTTTGGAATGCAGCCACCACTTCCAGTACATTTCCAGGCCACATAGAGGGGTTCTAGCGAGCACCCCTGCCAGTAATGTCTCAGCTGCTGCCAACATCATCCTACAGACATGTGAGAGACCTGAGAGCCTCCAGGGGAGTCTAGCCTTCAACTTTTGCGTCTTTCAGCAAGGCCTCAGGCATGGTAGAGCAGAGACATCCCTCCCCTCTGTGCTGCACTGTCCACATTTCTGACCAATAAAAACTGTGAGAAAGAGTAAGTGATAACTGTTGTTTTAAGCCACTGAATATCGAGGTAATTTATTATGCAGGAGTAGATATCTAATAAGGAAGGGGGCATGAGTGGAGACAGGGCCTCAGTGTTTGGACTTTGAACTGAGCACGGAGGACAGGGAGGACTCTTGCCCTGCTTGTCAAGATTATCTAGATTCTGTTTTTCTCATCGCTTCAGGTACTGCTGGCTGCATAATGAGTCACCCCAGAACTTAGTGGCTTACAGCAACAGAATCATTTCATTAACGTCTCAGCTACGTGGTTCTTGCTTGTGGTCTTTCACACGGTTGCAGTCAGGTATGGCTGGGGCTGGGATAATCTGGAGGGCCGTCTCCTGTGTCCAGCAGTTGGTGCTGGCTGTCAGCTGGGACCTTAGCTGGGGCTGTCAGTTGGAATACCTAGAGGGGTCCTGTCCGTGTAGCGGGGTCCTGTCCGTGTAGCGGGGTCCTGTCCGTGTAGCGGGGTCCTGTCCGTGTACCGGGGTCCTGTCTGTGTAGCAGGGTCCTAGGATTAAGCATCTTAAGAGGACCAGGTGGAAACTACTGCCTTTTATGAGTTAGTCTCCAAGTCACATAGCATCTCTTCTTCCCAGAACCAAAGGGAGGGAGCACAGACCCTCCACTCTGGAGCCAGGACTGTCTTTGTCACTTGTAAGAAGAGCGTATGGAATGGGATATGTGTGGTCATCTTTGGAAAATGTAACGCTTCACGCTCTTGCTGCTGCTTTGACCATCTTTCTCCCTGGTTTCGCTAATAGTGTGAGCAGTCTTCCATCTAGCCACTTGAACCTCACACATGTGCCAAGCACTGTGACGGGCACAGAAGTCAGAGTCTTCTTTCCTAAGGAGGAAGGTGGGAGTCAGGTGCGTGTGGCCACAGATTCTGTTATGGTGTGGAGAGAGTGCTATGGGAGTGTAGCCACAGGGAGGCCTGGCTCTGTCTGCGATGTTGCAGAAGGAGTCACCTGAAGTGGCCTGAAAGGATGTGTGGGCGGCTGGCAGGGGGTGCCATGGGCCAGATTTCAGGGTGAGGGGCCAGCTGGAGCAAAGACCCAGCAGTGTCCAGGTTTGCTTATTGGGGAAAAAGCATCCTGCTGAGGCCAGAGTGCAGGGTCCCTGGGGTGGGTGGTGGGAGGTCAGGTTGGAAAGGGATGTTTGAGCCAGTCTGTAAGAACGGCTTTGTATGTCATCATAATGAGTTTGAGTTTTATTTGGTGGGCTGTGCAGCCTCTGATGGCTTTAAGGCAAGTTAATGTGACCAGACGTGCTTGTCAGGAGGGATGCACCGTTGCTGTTGGGAGGGTTTGTGAGAGGGAAGCAGGATGAGTGACAGGTAGACCAGCTAGGAAACTACATCAAGAGTCCAGACTTAAGACAGTCCTTCCTATGAAGGAGTGAGTTCAGGTTAACGGGCTGGAGGGTTTGACATGGGCCGCTAGCAGTCAGTGAGTAACTTTGTACTTCCATTCTCACAGTTTTGAAGTTTTTGGGCCTAGACGTATTTCAGAATTCAGAATTTTTGGGGTTTTGAAAAGGTGATCTGGTGAATTCACTCTGTAGTGGAAGATCAGAAGCAGCACAGCATAAGCCACCATGTTTATTTCTGTAGCAAAATGTATGAATAACCACAGCAGGAGAGATAAAAGACTATAAATAGCCCCATATTAGATCAGATCAGATTTTAGCAAATGAGCTTGGATGAGGCTTTACTGCCAATTGAGTTTAGAAAACTTCTGTTTTTTAGTGCTTCTTGGATTTGGCAGTTGCAGTTGAGGAACTGTGGATGTGTTTAGATCCCAGGCACGTCTGCTGAATGTTGAGGGCCCTAGCACAGCGGCTTGGTGGTGCTGGTGGAGCCAATCCCTGTCTTCATGTAGCTTGCAGCTGAGGAGACTTGAGAGAAATCGAGCAGGTGGTTGCGCTCATTGCTGTTGGTGAAGGGTAGGTGGACCTTATGTGGTCCCAGGGGTCAAGGAAGGCATCTTGGCAGAGACACGACAGAGTGTGCCAGGTGAAGAAGATAGGGAAGAGCAGAGCTGGCTCAAGGGCACATGCACAGACCCCAGGGGTAGGGTTGGCCATTGGGGTGCCCGATGGGAGTGTGGTAGAGTGGAACAAAGAGAATGGGGAGAAAGGAGTGAAGTAACTGGCCAGTATTCACGTGGTCATGCCGGGCACTGTTCTAAACACCTAACATGGCTTATCTCATCTGATCTTCACAGCAACCCAGTTTGAGTCTCAGAAATGTGACAAAACGTAGGGTGACGCCTCTGGGCTGTCTGGCTTGCCTTTGTTACTGCTGCACTCTCCTGATGGTGGCCTGAGCAGACCTGAGCAGTGCTTCCTGGAGGAGCAGGTCACCGCTGCTGGCCAGGGTCTGGGCTTGACCGTCCTTTTGGGCACAGCCAGCTGTGAGAGAGAGTGTGACTCCTGGTTCATGTGTGTGCACACAGCACTAACTTCCAGGCAGAGCTGAGGATCGTATCCCAGGAATTACATGGGTAAACAGTAGGAAAATAGCACTGGGGCCCAGGATGAGCCTATGTGAAGAAGCAGGTGGGCTGGAAATAGGGGTGTCATGTACTCTTACAGCAAGAGGAGCAAGTTTGAAGCACAGGGTTGTGGGGTGGAGAACAACGGTCCAAGCACTGAAGTGGAGGCCAGGGCTGGGCTGGGGCAGCTTTTCCTGTGGGCTCTCCAGCCACTGCAGATGTGTGCAGATTTGCTAAGTAAAAACCCAGTCAGAAGATTGCTTTGACCTGCATGACTTAGAAGGGTGGGGCAGGAGGTCCTAAGTGTCAGGTAGTGGGTGTGGGCCACAAATTCTAATGTTTGGAGAAGAGTAAAAAGTCATCTAAAGGGTGCAGAAGTTGTCTGGAGGGTCCCATGAGGCTTTGCCATAAGGGCTTGCAGGTCGTTGATAAGTCAGGGACGGGCTATCCCTCTAGCCCCCTTTTTTATTTCTTTTTCTGGGATGGAGTCTTGCTGTGTCATCCAGGCTAAAAGGCAGTGGCGCCATCTCAGCCCACTGCCACCTCCGCCTCCCAGGTTCAAGGGATTCTCCTGTCTCAGCCTGCCAAGTAGCTGGGATTACAGGCGCACACCACCACACCCAGCTAATTTTTGTATTTTTATTTTAGTAGAGATGGGGTTTTGCCATGTTGGCCAGGCTCCTGACCTCAGGTGATCTGCCTGCCTCGGCCTCCCAAAGCTCTGGGATTACAGGCTTGAGCCACTGAGCCCAGTGTGGCCCCGCCCTTCTAAGCCATGCAGAGCAGCACTTCAGTGAACAGAGTTCAGTCCCTCTTCTCCATCCCCATCCTGTATATAAAGTCTTTTTCTTGCACAGTCATTTAGGAGGCGAGAAGTTGGGAGACAGGGAATCCTGGCCATCAGATTGGAGGGGAAGTTCCAACATGGACAACATCCTGAGGGGAGAGCAAAGAAGAAACTGAAACTCTGCTGGGCACCGTGGCTCACACCTGTAATCCCCGCACTTTGGGAGGCTGAGGAGGGTGGATCACTTGAGGTCAGAGTTTGACACCAGCCTGGCCAACATGGTGAAACCCCGTCTCTCTTAAAAATACAAAAAGTAGCTGGGCATGGTGGCAGGCGCCTGTAATCCCAGCTACTCGGGAGGCTGAGGCAAGAAAGTCACTTGAGCTTGGGAGGCAGAGGTTGCAATGACCTGAGATGATCATGCCACTGTACTCCAGCCTGGGCAACAGACAGATCGAGACTCTGTCTCAAAAAAAAAAAAAAAAAAAAAAAGGAGATAAAGAAACTGAAACTCTTCTGTGCATCACTCTTTTCTTCCACATAAAGTTTCTTAAAAATCAAATATGGGGATATGGCCCACAGCTCTGAGTAGCTTCATCCATGTGTGTGGCCCCAGCTGGGCACAGCGGTGAGGCCAACTGAAACAGTGTTTGCCTGAATTCCTCCGCCACTTGATGACATGTATCTAATTGATCTGTAGTGTGTGAGCCCTGACATAATAGGAATTTAATTGCGCAGGTACGTGGAAATGGACGTGAGGTTTCTGAGAAGACATGTCCTGGAGCGGTGGGGGTGGTTGGTTTCTAGGAAGAAGACAAGTGGTGGTGAATGCTGGCAGGGGCTGGGGAAATCTCCCCAGGAGGGAGACAGAATCCAGGTCTTTTTAGACGCCCTTCAGGATCAGCCCTTTTAAGCCAGATCTGCTGGTTTGAGAGCCCAGAGCCTCAGATTAGATCTGAGGCCCAAGGTTTCGACCAGGATTAGAGAGGAGGCTGTGAGGCAGAGGGTGACTGGCAGAGCTGTCGGTGTAAGAGGGTGACTGGCAGAGCTGTCGGTGTAAGAGGGTGACTGGCAGAGCTGTCGGTGTAAGAGGGTGACTGGCAGAGCTGTTGGTGTAAGAGGGTGACTGGCAGAGCTGTTGGTGTAAGAGGGTGACTGGCAGAGCTGTCGGTGTAAGAGGGTGACTGGCAGAGCTGTCGGTGTAAGAGGGTGACTGGCAGAGCTGTCGGTGTAAGAGGGTGACTGGCAGAGCTGTTGGTGTAAGAGGGTGACTGGCAGAGCTGTTGGTGTAAGAGGGTGACTGGCAGAGCTGTCGGTGTAAGAGGGTGCATGCCTGAAGCTTCCAGGTGTGAAGGGTAGATCAGAGGCAGGACAGTCAAGGAGTTATGGTCTGGAAGGGCAGCTGGCTGAGAATTGAGGAGTGTTTCGATCCTTTCCAGTAGTGTGGTCTGGTAGAGCTTGGAGGGTGGGTGGGACCATGCCTTTTTCTCATTGGTTTGTGTCCTGATTCCTTCCCAGAGCCTGGCAGAGAGCAGGTGTGTGATGCATGTTGTCAGGTGACTGACAGAGGAATTCAGGGCGAACAGATCATCTCAATTTGCCTTGCTGACGTGCCCAGCTGGGGCGACACTGATGGATGAAGCTATTCAGAGCTATGGGCAATGTCTACATATTTGACTGTCAAGAAACTTCATGTGGAAATAGCTTCAAACTTACACAAATTGCAAGAAAAAAAATAGTATAAGGATACTCGTACATACTGTCTTTACTCAGATTCACTTGTTAGTATTTTGCTCCATTTGCTCTCCCTCTCTATGTATGCAGTATATTTTTGTTCTGAACCATTTAAGAAGTTGCATCCATTCTAAGAATTGGAATTAATCAGTTATCACTGATACTTTAACCTACTGTCCATATTCCAACTTTGTCATTTTACCCAATAATGTCTTTTTTTTTTTTTTTTTTTTTGAAACGGAGTCTCGCTCTGTAGCCCAGGCCGGAGTGCAGTGGCCGGATCTCAGCTCACTGCAAGCTCCGCCTCCCGGGTTCACGCCATTCTCCGGCCTCAGCCTCCCGAGTAGCTGGGACTACAGGCGCCCGCCACCTCGCCCGGCTAGTTTTTTGTATTTCTTAGTAGAGACGGGGTTTCACCATGTTAGCCAGGTTGGTCTCGATCTCCTGACCTCGTGATCCGCCCGTCTCGGCCTCCCAAAGTGCTGGGATTACAGGCTTGAGCCACCGCGCCCGGCCCCCAATAATGTCTTTTTTAAAAAAGTTTTTTTGAGGTTTCATTGACATACAATTGATATAAATATGTGCAATAAACTGCATATAAAGTGTACAATTTGATGTTTTGACAAATATATGTGTGTGTGTATATATATACCTATAAAAGTATCACCACAATCAAGATAATAAACATATCCACCTTTCCAGAAGTTTCCTAAAGCCCCTGTGTAGTAACTACCCCACTGCCCTTCTCTGCCTCCATCCCCAGGCAACAACTGATCTGCTTTCTGTCATATAGATTAGTTTCTATTTTCTGCAGTTTTATGTCAGTGGAATCATAGTGTATGTGTTCTTTTTTATTTTTCCCAAAAAGACCCATATTGTGTATTTATTTGGAGATTGTGTTGTGTATGTCAGTGATTTATTCAGGTTTTTTTGCTGGATATTATTCCATTCTGTGAGTAAACCACAATTTGTTTATCTGTATTTCCCTGTTGATGGGCCTTTGGGTTATTTCCAGTTTTGAGTGATTATGAATAAAGTTACTATAAACATTCCTGTATAGGTTTTTATATGGACATGGCTGAAAGTAGAAAGGAAGTGTGGCATGCAGGAGAGACAGTAGAAAGGAAGTGTGGCATGCAGGAGAGACAGTAGAAAGGAAGTAGGGCATGCAGGAGAGACAGTAGAAAGGAAGTGGGGCAGGCAGGAGAGACAGTAGAAAGGAAGTGGGGCAGGCAGGAGAGACAGTAGAAAGGAAGTGGGGCAGGCAGGAGAGACAGTAGAAAGGAAGTGGGGCATGCAAGAGAGACTGGGCTTGGTTATAACTGCCTGTTATCCCTGGGGAACTAGCTCGCTCACCAGAGGACATTATGAGGGCTCTGCCCTGGCCCCCTTGTGATCCAAACACCTACCACTAGACCCCACCTCCAGCACCACCACACTGGGGGTCAAATTCCAGCATGTGTTTCAGAGAACAAACCATATTCAAGCTATATAGCGTAGCTACATAATTATTATAACACTATTAATAAGACCATCTTGGCCTTGGGAATTTTAAGTAGCACCTTTATTACATATTATATTTCTTTGTGTATTGACTCTGTTTCTGGAGCTTAAATTCTGTTTCACTGGCTGGTCTGTTTGTTTATGTACCAGTACTACACAGTTGTAATTACGGAGGTTTTGTAGTATGTGATATATGTGTGTGTGTGTGTATATATTTATAATTTTTTTGAGACAGAGCCTCACTGTCTTGCCCAGACTGGAGTGCAATGGTACAGTCCAATCACGGCTATTACAGCCTCAGCTTCCCAGACTCGGGTGGTTCCATCTCAGCCTGCTAAGTAGCTGGGACCGCAGGTGCATGCCACCATGCCCAGCTTTTTTTTTTTTTTTTTTTTTTGATTATTTATTGTAGAGACAGAGTCTCTCTGTGCTGCCCAGGCTATTCTTGAACTCCTGGACTCAAGTGATCCTACTGCGTTGGCCTCCCAAAGTGCTGGGATTGCAGGTGGGAGCTACTGCACCTGGCCAGTATGCAGCATTTTAATATCTGGTAGGGCTAAGTCCCTCCTCACCTGGCCAGTGTGCAGCATTTTAATATCTGGTAGGGCTAAGTCCCTCCTCACCTGGCCAGTGTGCAGCATTTTAGTATCTGGTAGGGCTAAGTCCCTCCTCACAGCTTATTTTTACTGTTTTCCTAGTTGTTCATGTGAACTTTATTGTCAGTTCGTCTAGTTCCATAAAAAGGTATTTTTATTGGGATTTTTGATGATGCTGAGATGTCCTGACCAAGAACAAGGGATGTTCAAATGTTCTTTTGTGTCTTTCAGGAATGATAGTTTTGTTCACATATGTTTTGAATGTTTAAGTTTATTTAAGTTTATTTCTAAATATTCTCTCATTTCTCTGGCTTTTGTAAGTAGGGTTTTCTCATGCATGTTTTCTTCTCATGAGTCATTTGTGGATATAAAGGCTATCCATTTGTGTATGTTGATTTTTATATTTCATTACCTTGCTCAGTTCATTGATAGTTTGGTTTAGTTTGTTACTGATTTTCTTAGAGTTTTCCAGGCATATTCTCACAAGTAAAGATAATAGAAATAGCTCGCTTCTTTCCACTTCTGCTTTGAATTGTTTTTTTCTTGGTTCATTTACATTGACTGCTTCCTCCAGCAAAACGTTAAATAACCCTGGAGATGATGGGCAGCTTCATTTTGCTCCTGACATTCGTGGAGTGCCCCTGGTGCTTCCCTGTTAGGTGAGGGATTAATTTTAGCCCTGAGGCGTGATATTTGATTTTAAAAATCAGTAATCTTGGGGCAGTTGGGTTAGAGGAATGGTAGGCGGATGCTGTCACTCCTTGCTCCTCCCTCCTCCTTCCCCGCTGGAGGGAAATGAGTTCCGACAGGTGGAAAGAGAGGAGTTAGGATTCTTTTTCTCTCTCCCTCTACCAGCATCGCCTTCTACCTCTCCCTCAAGAACATGTTGCTGAGAGTCAGCATATGT